AGTTGTGGGATAACATCAAGGACATCATACATAAAGTAAGCAAAGATCATTAAAAAGACAGGAAAGAAAGAAAAGACCAAAATGGGAGTCAGAAGAGTCTCTGGAACTTGTTCTTGAATGGAGAGTATCTTAAGTGAATGGAAGAAATGACGTAAAAGTACTGAACACAAGATTTCAAAGGGCAGCTCAAGAAGACAAAATAAAGTATTATAATGAAATGTGCAAAGATCTGGAGTTAGAAAACCAAAAGAGAAGGTCATGCTTGGCACTTCTCAAGCTGAAAGAACTGAAGAAAAAAATTCAAGCCTTGAGTGGCAATATTAAAGGGTTCTATGGGCAAAATAATGAGCTCTGGTAGCGTAGTACCCAAGGCACTTGACTGCTATCCAGAAGGCTGGTGGTTCAAATTCACCAGCCACTCCCCAGAAGGAAGGTTGGGCAATCTACTTCCGTAGTGATACCACCTCAGAAACCCATGGAGGGGTCGCTATGAGGGATCAACGGCACATAACAACAACATGGGCAAAATATTGGGTGATGGAAGGAATACACAGAGTCACTGTATCAAAAAGAATTGGTTAACACTCAACCATTTCAGGAGGTAGCATATGATGAAGAACCAATGGTAATGAAAGAAGTCCAAGCTTCACTGAAGGCACTGGCAAAAACAGATCTCCAGGAATTGATGGAATACCAACTGAGATGTTTCCACAAACAGATGTAACACTGGAAGTGCTTGCTCACCTATGCCAAGGAATTTAGAGGACAGCTACCTGGCTAACCGACTAGAAGAGAATCATGTTTCTGGCCATTCCAAGAAAGGTGATCTAACAGAATGCGGAAATCATCAAACAATATCATTAATATCACATGCAAGTAAAATTTTGCTGAAGATAATTCAAAAAAATCCTTGCATTGTTACATTGACTTGGAACCACCAGTAACTTAAGCCAAATTCAGAAGAGGACGTGGAATGAGGGATATCATTGCTGATGTCCGATGGATCTTGACTGAAAGCAAAGAATACCAGAAGCATGCCTAATTGTGTTTTATTGACTACGCAAAGGCATTCAACTGTGTGGGTCATAACAAATTATGGACAACATTTTGAAGAATGAGAATTCCAGAATACTTCATTGTACTTGAGACCAAGAGGCAGTTGTTTGAACAGAACAAGGGAATACTGCGTGGTTTAAAAAAAAATCAGGAAAGGTGTACATTGGGATTGTATCTTTTCACCATACTTATTTGATCTGTATGCTGAGCAAATAACCCAAGAAGCTGGACTATATAAAGATGAACACAGCATGAGGATTGCAGGAAGACTCATTAACAACCAACAATATGCACATGACACAATCTTCTTTGTGGAAAATGGAGATGACTTGAAGCACTTACTGAAGAAGCTCAAAGACTACAGTCTTCGGTATGGATTATACCTCAACATAAAGAAAACGAAAATCCTCTCAACTGGACCAAATAAGCAGCATCATGATAAATGGAGAAAAGATTGAAATTGTCAAGGATTTCATTTCAGTTGGATCTACAATCAATGCCCATGGAAGCAACAATCAAGAAATCAAGTGACGTATTGCATTGGGCAAATCTGCAACAAAAGACCTTTAAGGTGTTAAAAAGCAACGATGTCACTTTGAGGACTAAGGTGCACCTGACCCAAGCCATGGTATTTTCAATCACTTCATATGCATGTAAAAGCTGGACAGTGAATAAGAAAGACTGAAGAAGAATTGATGCCTTTGAATTATGATGCTGATGAAGAATACTGAATATACTATAGACCGCCAAAACAACAAACAATCTGTCTTGGAAGAAGTACAGCCAGAATCCTCCTGAGACACAAGGATGGTGAGACTTCATCTCACATTCTTTGGGCATTTTCAAGAAGCATCTCTCCCTGAAGAAGGACATCATGCTTGGTAAAGTAGAGGGCCAGTGACACAGAGGAAGACCCTAAATGAGAGGATTAACATAGTGGCTCCAACATAACAACAACTGTGAAGATGGGACAGGACTGGGCAGTGTTTTGTGCTGTTGTACATTAGGGTCGCCATGAGTGGGCATCTGCTTATTGGCATCTAACAAAAACAGTAACACGCTGGCAGAACATTAAATATTTTGAGCATCACACCTGATATGGGTCTTTTTTCTCTATATACACAATCTGTCTATATATACAGGAGACTCCCAAACTACATACAGTTTATGCATCTCAGATATTTATTTTAAAGCTGATTACTTAAAACTTACAACAAAATAATTCTCTAAACAACCCATGTTGTAAAACGTAGACTCATAAAGTCATCCAGCCAGTCTACTTTAGTATGTGAGATACCTAATTACCCTGTAGATATCACTTCTATGGGCAAAAGATATTCCAAATTCCAAATCAGTATCCTAGGAACATGGTTCCCTCAACAGGGGTAAAGACGTCCCCGTTGGTGAGGATAGGGAAAGATTTAGGGCTTCTTGTTACTGTTTAGAGTTATGTGTTCCTCTCTATAAATATTCAAGAGAAAGTAATTATATGTTGATTCTCTTTTAAAAGGTTCTAGCCCAGTGTTCTGCATATCAGAATCCCAAGAGAAGCTTGTAAAAAACACCAGTGCCCAGGCCACCCTGAACCAGTTAAATTCAGATCTCTGGGGCTTAGGGCCTTGGCATTGACAGGTTTATAGCTCCCAGGCGATTGCAATGCACACAGGTTAAGAACCACAGACCAAGTCCTTCTCCATCTATCCTGACCGTTTTGCAAGGTCAGGCTCTGTATTCATAGACACATGAGAAACACATACTTCCTTAAGATTTCAGACCACACTGAGTGACAAGTAAGACTGATCTGTCCTAGACCAGAGAGATGATCTGGCTTTTCATATCTCACCAAAGGCTATTAAAAAAACAAAACATAAAACAGTTTTTTTTTTTCTCCCTACTACTTTCTGTTTTCATAAACTGGGTGAATAAAGCGTGGAATACAATTCTATTTTTTTCCCACCCCATATGGTCTCAAAAAGGCTGGCGGTTCAAACCCACCAGCCACTCCTCGAAAGGAAGGTTGGGCAATCTACCTCCGTAGTGATACTGTCTCGGCAACTCAAGGAGGGGTCGCTAAGAGTTGGGTCCGATGATGGCACATAACAACAATAACGTGGTCTCAAAAAGAGAAACTTGCCCATTTAAAAAGGTAGGTGGCAAAGAGAATGGCCATCAACAGTGGAATAATATGCCCTTCCTAGTCGGGAAATGACCAAGACAACAGTAGCTTCAAAGCTGATGAAGCTGATATTGAATCAAACAGACACAACTCTTGGAAGGGGTTATGAAGAAATGGACAGTGGTGCCACACTCACACCAAGCAGCCACCATGAGCTGAAGGTCAAGAGAAAAGAGGGGAAATGTAATCAGAGACTGAACTATGATGGATTTAAAAATCTAAAAGGGGAAGGACAGAGAATTCAAGGGAATGACCTTTCTGTATTCATGAACCTGAGGCAAGTTTAAAAACCAGAGTGTTTTTTTTTCCCCTTAATTCTTCTTTTTTAAATCAAAATCCTTTGTCCTTGTACTTCAAGAATAGACGTGTAAACACCATGTCTAAAAGTAACGGTTCCTGGATACGACTATAGATTATATTTTCCAGTGGACACCTTTCCGCCTTAGCCTGGGAAGACCTGCCGTCCCAAATCAGAGAACCTGTGGGTGTATTTCATCAAGGGAAAGAAGTTTTATGTTAACTCAATCTGCTAAGAATTTTCAGTGGAGCTAGTCTTCTCTATGGATCTAGTTACTGCATGCCTTCAAGTCAACCTGTGGGAATCTGGAAGTCTATGCCTTGGAATTAATTCAACAACGTAGTCACCACTGTGTTCTCATTATGGCAAAGAAACTACTAACTGCCTTTTCTTTTCTTCCATTAACAGTAAGGCTTCCTCATTTAACAAGGAAACAAAAAAAAAAAAAACAAAACCACACACTAACCACAAAGATGATCCCTGGGGCTTGTACCCTGCAGGAGAGGGAAAAGCAGGAAAAGGCACCAAATCCCTGTAGGTTTGACGTGGTATTTCCCCTCAAGACACAGTCACACGTCCTCTTACTAAACACAGATGTTCACAGAAGCCACTTGGCAGGACTTGAAATTGATCACACAGAAACACACAGGTAGTTGGATAGATGGATGCAGAATCACTCACAAATCACAACTTGTAAGCACTACGCCACGAATGCCAGGAGAAGCAGACAAATGGTAGCTCTTTGACCTGTGATCCAAGTCATTTTCATGGTTTCTGAAGGTGCAGAACGTGTGACTGCAATACATGGTCACTTCCCACAAAATACACGATGACCCCGGGCTGAGCGGAAGTTGGAGGAGACAGCAGCGGCCACGACACTGGACCAGACATTTCACAAGAACTCCTTATTGATAACTTGATAATAGTCTTAAAGATGCATATTAAGTCATTCCTTCTGGGCACAGACACGACTGAACATTAAAAATTAAAAGGCCTATAAATACTACCAACCCAACCTTGCCTTTTGTATCTCCCTGTTTGCATAAAATGGAATCTTTACCACCAAGCTGAAACATAAATATTAAAATAATAAGTGAGACACACTATAATCTACTTACAATGTCATCACTATGGTAGCACCTTTTGCACCAGAGCCAATGCATTCATTTTTTTAAAGAACAAGAGAAGGCTGAGAAGCTTCAGGACTCATGTGACACGTCATTAAATATTTAATCACCTTTTTTTTAAGTCCTAAGCCTTTATCATATTTCATTCATCTAGACAGTTCATTCTATACTATAGATTCGAAGGCCCCCTTGGGCAGGGAGGAGAAATGGGGGTGGGAAAAGCCTTCTGAGTGGCGGGGTTAAGTTATCTCCATCACGAGCTTCTGCTGGCGCTTCTGTGAATTCACTTCACTCCATAAACCCACCAATCCACAGGAGGGTCAACTGACTGGGTTCATTGAGTTCAGTCTCCAAGAATCAGTTTTACAAAAGATGCCACGTCTGTTGCTTTGGATTCGTGTAGGGTGAAGAAAGGATGTTGCTGGGAAAGAAAACAACAAAACAAAAACATGTTATTAACATCTGTTACTGACAATGTATGAGATCAGCAAATCAACAGATGTCTTTGGTAAACAGTTTAAGTATGCCTATCCAGTTTCAGGGGAGCTCTGGTAGCATAGTGGCTAAGGCACTTGACTGCTAACCAGAAGGCTGGTGGTTCAAACCCACCAGCCACTCCTTGGAAGGAAGATGGGGCAATCTACCTCTGTAGTGATACTGCCTCAGAAACCCAAGGAGGGGTCACTATGAGTCGGGTCCGACTCGATGGCACACAACAACAACAACAACATCCAGTTTCAGAAGGAGCTCTGGTGGCGTGATGCCTAAGGCATCTGACTGCTAACCGGAAGATTGACGGTTCAAACCCACCAGCTGCTCCACGGAAGGAAGATGGGACTTCTGTGAAGATTTACTGCCTCAGAAACCCAAAGGCGGTTGCTATGAGTTAGAATCGACTCAATGGCAGTGAGTTTTTTTTTTTTTTTTTTTTTTAATCCGGTTTAAGGAGTCCCTGGGTGGTGCAAATAGTTACAATCGGCTGCTGACTGAAAGGTTGGGGGTTCAAGTCTACCCAGGGGCACTCTGAAGGAAAGGCTTGGTGAACCACCTCCAAAACCCAGCCGTTGAAAACCCTACAGAGTACAGTTCTACTCTGATACACGTGGGGTCACTAGGTGTCAGTCAACTTGATGGTAACTGGGTTTGGATCAGGTTCAAGGAAACTCTTCCCATCCCTTCCTAAATCCAGCACACATCTAGTGATGCAAACATTCGGAAGAGATGACTTAGTTGCCACTTCTCCTATTTTAATATCTCTATATTGCCACTAGGAGCTCTGGTAGTAGTGCCTAAGGCACTTACCTGCCAACCAGAAGGCTGGTGGTTCAAACCCTCCAGCCACTCCTTGGAAGGAAGATTGGGCAATCTACTTCCATAGAGATACCGCCTGGGAAACCCAAGGAGAAGTCTCTATGAGTCGAGTCCAACTCGATGGCACATAACAACATATTCCCACTATATATTGTTTTAGGGGGGAAAAAAAAGCCTATGTAAGAATTAGGCTATATAAAGCTCAACCATAGTAAAACGCAAGGATTAGCAAAGGCCTGATTTACACATAACCCTGGTCTCCACAGAATAATTTTAGACTGGGAGAGTAGAAAAAATCATTAGAAATTCCACAGATCTCAGGAAATGGTGATAAGAATGTAAAACCAGTTTTGTGTAACATTGTATGTACACGGTTGTCCCTGCCCTGGCCACTGGACAGCTGCTTGGACCTAAACTACATCTACAGCCATAGGTTATACTGAATCTCTTTCTTGATGAAGAGCTGATCCACCTGGAAAATAATGCAGACTGGCATCCTAGGTACAGGAGGAGGAAATTCAACTCAGAGTTTAAAGAGTGAGAAGGGGAAAGTGGCATCAATCCATGTAGCTCAAGTAAGTGAACTTTAAAGAACATCCAGTCCAAAATATTGTATGGTCCCACTTACATGAAATATCTAGCTCGGCAAATGTTAGCAACAAAAGCCGATTAGAGGCTGTCAGGGATAGGGGAAGGGGGGGAAGTGAATGGGCAGCGACGGCTGCGGGTACAGAATTTCTGCTTGGGGTGATGGAAACTTTAGAACTAGGTGGTGTGTTGACTGCACAACACAGTGACTGCGTAAGATCACTGAGCTGCACACTTCCAGATGGTTAAAATGGTATTTGTTTTGTTATATAGATTTTAACACCTTTTCTAAGTCCCTCTTAACAAAAATCAAATCCAATACTTTGGTGGAGGCACATGCAAGACATAATGGAATACAGTAATTATTTCAAAACAATTCTGAAAGAAACGAAGTCATTTTCTTTGCACCAGAACAATCCTCTCCCCAATTACTCAATTTTGTTAAAGTAAAGACCCAGTGGAATCTCACACCCCTAATTAGAAAGAGATGTAAAACCAAAAAACCAAACCCAATGCCATCAAATTGATTCTGACTCAGAGCCACCCTAAAGGACAGAGTAGAACTGCTTCATAGGGTTTCCAAGGCTGTAAATCTTTACGGAAGCAGGCTGCCACATCTTTCTCCTGCAGAGTAGCTGGTGGGTTCAAAACCCGTCCCTTCTGGTTAGCAGCCAAGCACTTTAGCCACTGCACCACCAGAGATACATTAGCTCATGATCCATACTTCATACAGTGGAAACAGAACCAACCAAACAACCCCAAAATGGTAATCCCTTCAGGTACAGCCTAGGGCCCGGTCCAGCCCATGCACCTGTAACGCCCACCTCCCCGACTGTCTGGTGGTATTCTTCTCCAACAACCAGCTGAGTAACTAAAAATGAGCACTGCTGCATGCAGACATGTGGATGACTCACTCTGCTTCCCCTGAAAACTCTGGGAGTTTTAGTTACAACCTTCCTGTTGCCTAGTGGTAGGTTTTCTAATTATATTTGTTAAACCTGACAGCTGAGGGTTGGATGTGTCAGCTGTGGGGAACCAAGTGCCCACCCATGGAAGGAAACAATGCAAATGGGAAAGGAACAGAGAAAAAGAACCCCCCAAAAGGCCAGTGGCCACTGTGATGTATTGTGAGTCAGAAAATGGAGAAGAGGTTTTCTGCCTCTGTCCTTTGGAGGATACAGGTTGGGTGCTGGCTGAGAGCCTGACACCCAGTGTGGAACTGGGGCGCTGGATGGGGCTGCTTCATCCTGAACTCCCTGGACGACTAAATAACAGGCTTATTTTGGACTAACCACTTACACAGCACACTTACCATCATGCTTATTAGCTTTCCCACATCCTCTTGACATTTTGAGATCTTCTAACGTGCTTAAAAGCTTTTTACTATCAAAACAGGACACGCTAAGCCTCAAACATTTTGGTGATTGCTTCCAAAGCCTGCCAGTCCCACCTTGCTCTGCTGGTGGCTCTGAGCTCCATGGATGGAGCCTGAGTCTGGGGATGAATTCAACAGCCTGACCAGAAGTCTTCAGTTAAAAAAAAATCCCCAAGCATCTGTCAGCATATTCCCAGGCTGGGAAAATGCTGTGCGAGCCAGGGGTAGGGAGGGGAAGAGCAGGCAGGCCTGGCAAAATGGAAAGTGTGACTCGTTTTCTTGTGGGTTTTGAGGCTGTAAAAGGCTGGGAGGGAACCCACTGTCTTCTATAAGCACTAAGAATAGCAGGGACAGCAATCAGGAGAAGAGGAGTGAGGACACCGTGGAAGATTCCCCAGACCAGAGGCTTAGGTGAGGTTTTTCAAAACAAGATCCAGGCACAAGAAAGGGGGACTCTGCCTCCTCTTGGGGTCACTGCTGTGTGTGAGGAGTCCCTGAAGGAGTCCCTGAATGGTGCAAATGGTTAATGCACTTGGCTGCTAACCAAAAGGCTGCTGGTTCCAGTCCACCCAGGTGCCTCAGAAGAAAGGCTTGGTGATCACTGTCTGAAAAATCAGAAAACCCTGGGTGCACAGTTCTGTTCCGACACGCATGAGTGTGAGGTTGCCATGAGCCAGGATGGACTCCGTGGTGACTGGTTATGTGTGAGCTGTGTTTTTTGTTGTCGTTGTTGTGTATGGTGAAGATACAGAACTGTGAACAGCTGCCAGAAGCAGAGAGGCCAGCTACAACAACTAAAAGAAGCCAAACCCACTGCCACTGAGTTGATTCCAACTTACAGCGACCTTATAGGACAGAGCAGAACGGCCCCATGGGGTTTCCAAGGCTGTAAATCTTCACAGAAGCAGATGTTTCATCTTTCTCCTACAGAGTGGCTTGTGGGTTCAAACCACTGAACTCTTAGTTAGCAGCTGATGCCTTAAGCATTGCACCAGCAGAGCTCCAGTGGTGCTCATCTTCCATGCACAACACCCCATCCGTCAAGACTACCATTCCCTACGGTTTCCAGCATCCCTGTGTAACACACCCATCAATTATGCTTTCCCAGGATATCTGAAGAACACAATCACCTCACTGCACAATCACTTGAGTCACTTGGGCATCATTTTCTGGTACAAATGGCTAATGCACTTGGCTGCTAACTGAAAGGTTGGAGGTTCAACCACAACCAGGGATGCCTTGGAAGAAAGACCTGGTAATCTACTGATGAAAAATCAGCCGTCGGAAACCCTATGGCACACAGTTCTACCCTGACACAGGGGTTACCATGAATTAGAGTCAAGTGAAAGGCAACTCATGTATGCATAATCTACAACAAAAACTGAAGCAAACCTATTGCCATCAGTCAATTCCAACTCATAGCTACCCTATAGGACAGAGTAGAACTGCCTCATAGGATTGTCAAGGCTGTAAATCATCATGGAAGTAGATGCCATATCTTACTCCTGCAGACTTGCTGGTAGGTTTGAACCACCTACCATTGGTTAGCAGCCAAATGTTTTAATCACTGCACCACCAGAGCTCCATCACCTAGGACAGAGGTCAGCAAAACATGGCCCTGGGGCCAAACCCAACCCACCATCTGTTTTTGAAATCAAGTTTTACTGGAACACAGCCATGTTCACTTGTTTACGTATTGAATATGGCTGCTTCACCCAACAGGAGTGGAGGAGTGGTGGCCCGCAGAGTCAAGGTGACTTCCTAGCTGGCCCGCTACAGAAAGCAGATGAGGTTACTTTAGAGGGTATGAACCACTCAGCCCAAGTGAAGAAGAAAAACACTGGGCATTTCTGTGAGATCGGAGTGAGTGCTGTCTTTCACCTGGAAAATGGATTTTCCTCTCTCCCTCCTTCCCAGCTTCTGAAATATAAACAATAGCTTTGTGGCATCTGTTTCCCAACACTAAAGGCAGGGGGCTTGGAATCAGATTTTCCATTTTAAAACCTCAATTCCACAGGAAAGCAGGGAGCAGTTGTGGTCTTAAAGGCAAGTCCACTGCGAGTACCACAAAGCCTAATGCCGTAAGAAGGTGGGAATCCACACAACGTTGATACAGCAGCCATTAAATACCACAGTGTCAGAATGTTCTGGAAAGGCAGAATTCAACATACAAATTTAGCAGATGTTTGCATTTTAAATAACCAGCAACATTCAGATATGTTGCGCCTTTTGTCTGAAATTAATGCCAAGCCCAGCTACAGTCGAATCGTTTTGTTTTCAGCTGCTCTCAAGGCGGCTTCCAACTCACGGTGACCCCATGGGTTACAGAGTAGTGCTGCCCACAGAGTTTTCTTGGCTGTCATCTTTCTGCAGAGTGGCTAGGTGGATTCAAACCACCAACCTTTAGGTTAGTACTCAAGCACAAAGCTGTTCATGACACCCAGGCTCTTAAAATAAAATTATGGGAATCACTTCGTGTCTCCCGAAATTAATGTTAACATGCTTCAAGATGCATAATCATACAAAAATAAAAAATAAAAAAGCAGTCAGGCCTCTACTGGCTATTAAAATAACATCAGGGTGGAAATATTCCATCTAAACATGCAGTAAGCTAAGATTCTCAAGCACTACTCATCTTTCCTTCCTCAAATATAGGTCTTAGTCGAACAAAACAAGCAGGATGCTAAGACCCTTGTTATTGTTACTGACATTGAGTCTTCTGACTGTGGCCGCCCCATGCACAACATAACAAACGTTGCCCAGTCCTACGCCGTCCCCAGGAACAGCTGTAAAATGGACTTAGAGTTTTCACTGCTGATTTAGGAGGCAGGTCACCAGGCCTTCCCTCCTGGTCTGTCTTAATCCGGAGGCGGAAACCCGTTCAGCACCATAGCAACACACAACCCCCCACTGACAGATGTGTGGTGGCTGCATGTGAGGTCCAGGGCAGGGAACTGAACTGAGTCTTCTGCACGGAAGATGTGAATTCTAACACTCAACCATCACAGCTTCTGAGGGCTGCCTTGTTTAAAGGGGACAAGAGAGACCCAAGGAGAAGGCCTTGTCAAGGTCACCCAATTTGGAGAAGGGTTCACATAAGTCAAAGCTTGGCCAACAGAACTGAAAATCCACGTGATGATGCTAACAATTGCACCCCCTCCTGACCAGCTTCTGAATCTCTCCCCGGCTTGACATCTCCAATCTGTACTTTTTCCATGACTGAGTCATCTCACCACACCATTTATTAACAGATGTCAGGAACTCATATCACTCACCCTGAGTCGGACTTGAGGACTGAGCATGGGTTGTGGGTGTGATGGGATGGGAGCAAACATCTAATGGCTGGTGAATGATTGTGCTCTGGGAAGCAAGCCAGAGGGTGCCCTGGTGGTGCAAGGGTAAAGTGCTCAGATGCTAACCGCGAAAGGTGGGTGGTTTCAACCTATGCAGCAGCTCCACATAGAAAAGGCCTGGTGATCTGAAAATAATAGACCAGAGAACCCTATGGGGCAGTTCTACTCTGTCACATGGGATCCCTACCAGTCTGAATTCGCTTGAAATCAACAAACAACAACAAGCAAACTACTGTTTACTTATATAATTTGGAAATATCCCATGAACATAAGAACACTTCCTTCCCCTGCTAAAATGAAAACCTTGTTAATCAGACAAATCTAGGGAAGGGTTAACATGAGTTAGTAAACTGTCTAAATTTTATAATATTTCCACCTCCTCCCAAAAAATCGTGTTTCTCTCACATTCAATGCAGACTTAGATATAGCAAAGTGTTGCCAAGTTTAGCTTCTTGCCATCTGTACTAAAGAATCAGTTATAATTAATTTAGAGTTGCAGTTATCATCATTTAAAAGTTGTTGTTTTAAAACAACAACTCACATCTTATTTTCACCCTTGTTTTCACCAACACAGAGTCCTGGGGCTGCTCATCTAACACTCATTGGTTGCATCCATCAGCCACTACGCAGGAGGACGATGAGGCAGTCTGCTTCCATAAGGATCGGAAACCCTGTGGGGCAGTTCTACTCTGCTGTAAGATCACTAGGAGTCGGAATCGACTTGGTGGCAACAGGGTTGGGTTTGTCTTTTGTTTTCTTAACTTTTTATTGTGATTTGGGTGTAAGTTTACAGAGCAAATTCATTTTCCATTCCCATTTTGTTGACACTTTTGTTTGGTTTCATGGACAGTGCAAATATTGAACTGTGAGTGGTGAGGCAAGATTACTCAAAGGACTACGGCTTTGCTCAAAGTGAAGAAGACTTAAAGCACTTACAGATGAAAACAAAGACTACAACCTTCAGTATGGATTTATACCTCAACATTAAAAAAAAAAAAATCCTCACAACTGGACTAAAAAGCAACATCAAAATAAATGGAGAACAGATTGAAGTTGTCAAAGATTTCATTTTACTTGGTTTCACAATCAATGCCCATAGAAGCAGCAATCAAGAAATAAAACAACATATTGCACAGGGCAAATCTGTTACCAAAGACCTCTTTAAAAGTGTTAAAGAGCAAAGATGTCACTTTGAAGACTAAGATGCACCTGACCCAAGCTACAATATTTTCAATCTTCCTAAAATGCATGTGAAAGCTGGACAGTGAATAAGATGGACAGAAGAAGAGATGATGCCTTTAAATTGTGGTGTTAGCAAAGACTAGTGGGAACACCATGGACTGCCAGAAGAATGAACAAATCTGTCCTGGAAAAAAATGCAGCCTGAATGCTCCCTTAGAAGCAAGAATGGCCAGACTTTGTCTCACCTGCTTTGGTCATGTTGTCAGAAGGGACCGGTCCCTGAAGAAGGCTGTCATGCTTGGTAAAGTGGAGGGCCAGCAAAAGAGGGGGAGACCCTCAACAAGATGGATTGACACAGTGGCTGCGACAGCAGGCAGCCAAAACAAAACTGTTTTGTTCTGCTGCACACGGGATTGCTATGAATCGGAGCCGAATCAATGGCACCTAACAACAACAACAAAGGTTTTGCCTAGACAGAGAAAGAGAGTCTTTCCTCTCCAGCCACTCATCAAAAATAAAGCAGTAGTGCCAAAAATGTTCATCCGATGAGTCCTAGATGTTTTAGATAAAATGCTCGTTGGTTGCATCCATCAGCCACAGAGCACTGACGTTTCTCTCCTTACTGAAACGTCTTAACTCATGCCTGCCTTCATTGTGTGTTGCCATTTCGTGAGTCCTGGCATCTTTAAAATTTAAAAATAGGAAGTACTTTTTATAGATATAACTTGTTCTGTATCATGTATTAGCTTTATTAGCCTGAAAAGAAATTGCGTGTTGGCTGGCAATTTAGTGGTGACACTAAAGAAAGATGTCCTATCAATGCAGGGTACATGGGTGGTTCAGTGAGAGAATCCCCATGCAGGAGACCTGGGTTCAGGGTCCGGCCCGTTCATCTCCTGAGCAGCCCCCACCCACCTGTGAGCAGAGGATTGCGTGTTGCTATGACACCGAACAGGTTTCAGCCAAGCTTCCAGGCTAAGATGAGGCAGAAAGGCCTGGTTCTCTCCTTCCAAAAAGAAGCCACTGTAACTCACAGATCATAAGGGTCTCATTGACCATGGGGAAGGCACAGGCCTGGGTAGGGTTTCGTTCCTTGTGCGTGGGACAGCCAATAACAACAATAAATGCAGGACTCGCAGCTCTGCTCCTTGAGTTCAACCTCTGTCACTGATGCCTCAGGGAATCCACTCTTCCGACATATAATTTAGGTCTCTGTAACTCTTCCTTCACTGGCTGTTAGCTGGGACAGGTTAACACGTTTACAAAACTTACCATAAGCTCTGGGTATGTTGGCCTTTCTTTGGAATTCTTCTTCAAGCTAAAAGAGAAAAAATAAAATCACATAAAAAACTAGAAACCATCTGCATTTTCACTAGGCTAGGATTTCAGATTCTGTAGAAGACTAAACATAACCAGCTTAAAAATACATTGACAATATTGGTCTCCTAGCTTGACTTTCCTCCTCTGATCTGCTGATAAGTTATGTTTCAAAGTAACTTTGGGTGTCCTTCAATAGGGATAATAGATACATGTGTGTGTGTGTTTAGTTTGTTTCTGGAACGTAAACAATGACACACAAACTAACTCTTCTGATCTACAGTCATTTTATTTCAAAATAACATTCCTACTTTCCTGCAAAGCAGCTTTGAATCCACCCCCACTGAAAAGTAAAGGGACAGCTGTTTCTTAAATTACATGTTACCTCTTCACTCTTTGCAACTACCTGGTTCTGCCTGCTTCTGGTTCCTGTCATGTATTTGCTTTTATATATTCCTTCCTAACTTCCCTCAGACCAAAGACATCAATCTGTAAGACTTCTAAGGAACTGCTGCTTGTTTATTGCATCTTGGCTCATGAACGAGAAAGCACGCTCCATCAATAACTTAGCAAGTCTTCTTAGAAATAGTTTGTGGTAAGGCACCACTGTCGGGTGACTTCTGTTCATTCAGCCAGCTGTATTTTAACCACATTTGACACTGGAGGTAAGAGTAGTAAAACTGCAATATGAAGAGACCAGCCCCTCACCCCTATTCTCAACCCACCCCTGTCTTTAAAACATGGAAAAGAAATGAAAAGAAGCAGTTTATTTGAAGTGAAAAATCCCAAGTTACAAAATGGAGAAAAGGATGATTTCAAAAACTATGATTTGCAAGGCAGCCTACAAATTTCTGGGCCCACTGGGCCACAAAATCATACATGAATGGAAGGAACTTTGCCTGGGGTTGAAGGAACCAAAATGTGACTGGTTATTAGGATGCTGGTGTTTGTTCTAATGAATCATTTTGAACCAATGGCATCTAACAGTGTGTAACATGAACACTGCTCTGCCCATACCAGCTGCTAATGAGGGCAAGATGCAGGACTGTAAGAGAGTGAGGTAGCTGAGACATTTGGAGAAACTGTGGTTTAAAACAAAACGAAATGAACGAGAAAGGAAAAAAAAAAAAAAAAGGAAGCTTTTGAACCAAGACAACTTACAGTGGCCTACCAGTTTACTCCAGGCAATGCTGTGGGTAGAAGCCAAGGAACCTGAGACAGGGAACAGGTAGCTGTAGGAGAGAAGTTTCACCTGGAACTGAGGGCAGACCTAGGACCTAGTGACCTCAGTGACCAGACAACCTATGAGAGAAAGTGTCATCTCAACTGAGGATAAAAAATAAGAGCGAATTAGACAGAGGAACGGTCAACTGTCAAAGTCAGGATGACATGGGAAGGTGTGTCTGAGTGAGGTGAATGGAACCAGTAACACTCACTGCAGGTTTGCAACTGCTTGAAATTCCACAGGGCTATCTTGGGAGCCTCAACTGGAGGTGATTTTGCCCTTCCCGATGGGATATTTAAGGAGCTCTGGTGACACAGTGGGATCTCTGGTGGCGTAGTGCCTAAGGCACTTGACTGCTGACTAGAAGGCTGGCAGTTCGAACCCACCAGACACTCCTTGGAAGGAAGGTTAGGCAATTGAATTCCAAAGAGATACCACCTCAGAAACCCAAGGAGGGGTCATTATGAGCCGAATCGACTCGATGGCAGTGAGGGGTTTTTTTTTTTTTTTGGTGGCCCAGTGGTTAAAGAATTCAGCTGCTAATCAAAAGGTTGGCAGTTTGAACCCACCAGCTGCTCCATTGGACAAAGATAAGGCAGTCTGCTTCTGTAAAGATTTACAGCCTTGGAAAACCCTTTGGGGCAGTTCCACTCTGTCCTATAGGGTCGCTGTGAGTCAGAATCAACTTGATGGCAGTGGGTTTAGTTGGTTTTTAGGGGATATTTAAAGAGCCTTGGGGCACAGTGGTTAAGCATTCGGCTGCTGACTGAAAGGTCAGTGATTCAAACCCACCAGCCACTCCATGGGAGAAAGACATGGCAGTCCACTTCTGTAATGTTTATAGCCTTGGAAACTCTATGGGGCAGTTCCACTCTGTCCTATGACTTGGAATCAACTCAATGGTATATTTGGCAAGTCTGGGCAATTTGGCTATTATAACTGGTAGGAGGTATTGCTGGTATCTAACTGGTAGAGGCCAGTGTTGCTCAACACTGTACAATGCACAAGATGGTCACCCACAACAAGGACTCATCCAGTCCAAAATGCCACCAGGATTGAGGTGGGGAAACCGTGCTATGGATGTGTGAGGGTGTGCCCACTCCTTGCTACCTTCTATCCCCTTTCTGAGATGGAATTCATGTAAGTCTCTCTGGCTGGTTTGTCTGTCATTGGGGCACAATCTCATCACTACCACCCAGCATCCTGGGAAGCAAAAGTCTGTCTAAGTTCAAGAGCTAGTTCACCTAGAAGGAAACATAGAGGAAGAAACGGGATCCCCAGAATATTGCTGATTGCACATAAAACCCAAACCAGACCCTCTGCTGTCAAGTTGATGCCAGCTCACAGTGATCCTATAGCACAGAACAGAACTGCCCCATAGGGTTTGCTAGGCTGTAATCTTTACAGAAGCAGACTGCCACATCTATCTCCCACGGAGTGGCTGGTGGATTTGAACCATCAACCTTTTGAATGGCAGAAAGTACTTTAACCACTGCCCCACAAGGGCCCCCTTGATGGCCTATCCAAACACCAAACACACTGCCATCGAGTCAATTTTGACTCATAGTGACCCCCTTTGGGTTTCCGGGGCAGTAAATCTTTACAGAAGTAGAGTGCCCAGTCTTCCTTCCATGAAGTGGCTGGTGGGTTTGAACCACCAGCTTTCTCTTCAGTAGTCAAACACCTTAGGCACTATGCCATCAGAGCTCCTTTGATTACACATAGACCCTAGTGAAAAAATAAAACAAAACAAACCAGCCTACAAAGAACCAGGCAAATGGACAGAAGTGCTGAATTCCCAGCTATTGTTCAAAGCAAATTAAAAACCAAAAATGTCTTTTCTACCATTTGAACAAGGTAACTTGCTCAATCAATAATGAAAAGCACAAATGCAACATTAAAGGCACCCTCCATACTCAATGTGTCAGTCAGTCATCAGATCCTAGCTCTGCCTTGAATCTGAAACACTTTCCTTCAGGCCCAGTGGCACCTCTCCATTAGCAGCTCTCATTGTCAACACCTGAGCCTGTTGTTGTTGTTATATGCCATGGAGTCGGACTCGACTCATAGCGACCATCCTTGGGTTTCCGAGGCAGTATCACCACGGAAGTAGGTTGCCCAACCTTCCTTCCGAGGAGTGGCTGGTGGGTTTGAACCACCAGCCTTCTGGCTAACAGTCAAGTGTCTTAGGCACTATGCTAGCACATGACAAACACTAGTTCTATAGTGTTGGAAACAATGGCTTTTTTAACCAATGAGAGACCTTTGTGGTGTTATCGATCTCTGACCTTCTATTTAGTGCATGGAGTTCCTGGGTCATACAGATGGTTAGTTAACATACTTAGCAGCTAACGGAAGGTTGGAGGTGAGAGTCCATCTAAAGGTGCCTCAGAAGAAAGACGGGGTGATCTATTTCTGAAAAATCAGCCTGGAGAACACAGTTCTACTCAGACACACATGGGGCTGCCCGAGTTGAAATCTACTCCAGTGCACAGGTTTGGTTTTCTGGTTTATTTAGTAGGTAAGACAATGAAATAGACTGTCCCTCCCCAAGGGTAGAAAAACTTAAATGCCTCCATTTTTAAAAAGGAGACATGATTTAAGCTGGGTCTTATCTTTTTACTTCTGGAACAGTTTATGAAAAATTCTCCAGAA